ACCGTGTTTCACAGGCAGCGACGGTGCCTTTCGCGTAGCTGGAAGACGGCAGCTCAGATTAGCATCTCCATCAATCACACGGGTCCCGCAGGTGCGATCTGTGCCCCTCGCTGCCAGCCCCCTTGCTGCCCGCTATCAGCCGGCCCCTGGCCACGAAGCAGTATGGCTCGGGGGGGGGGCATTCATCTATGACGAGATCCAGGCCAGAAGCAAATCTAATCTGCCCTGGGAGAAACGTTCCTCCTTCCCATTAACATCGCAGACATGCGAGCAATTCCTATCCCTACCACGCAAGGTTTGAGTAAATAAACGTATCTTTCCTGCACATCAGATTCCCTTCCCCTGTGCGGTGACAGGTCATGTGCCTACAGTATGTGTGCATGGGAGACGGAGGAATTTTAAATGAGGGATATATATATATGTGTCTCGCATAACTGCTACCAGTGGCAGATCGGATGGATTCAGCCCTCTTGGTGTCTGTCCAAACGTTTCGCTTTAATAAATAACAGTTTCTGCAAACCCATGCTCAGAGATGAGTAAAATAAGATCATATTTGTAAATATTAAACATACGCTGTCATTTTTGGCTCCAGTAAAATGTAAATGAAAGTAATTATTTTGCCAGATTTTTATGAAGCATATTGGAGCATATATTTTTGATCAGGCACTATGTGAAGAAGGATGGGATTGAACTGGATCTGCACCCTTCAGGGTTTAGGGTGTGACCTACAGTAATGTAACAGCTGGGGTTCCTGTGAGCCTCAATCGCAGTTTGTATGGTATATGTGCAGTTAGAGGTGACACGTTCCTCAGAGCAGCTCTGGCACTGCAGGGAGCAGTGATATGGCTTCTAGGGCTGGTTTATGGTGAGTGAAAATAAAACCACTCGCACTCAGAGGAGCCAAAGAGTCAGTTCCCCCCTCCCACCCCGGCACTGAGCCACTAGCATAGGCAGCCCCCGGCGGCCAAGACGGGAGGTCTGTCATGCATCATACAGCTCCCCGGAAACTCTCAACGATCCTGTGTAGCAAAAAATCCCAGAATGCACTGCGACTGTGCCAGTGCCAGCTTGGAGAACTGTACTTTATTTAACCTTCACATTAGACGGTGAAGTTAGTCTGTCAAAGCAGCCCTAAATATGCCAGAAACAGAGAGCAGTGATTGGGCAGAGGCTGGTGAGAGTCGCTAACTGGCTGGATGTGTACGACATCGCAAGTGGGGCTTTAAAGCTCCTTCCGCTCCCTAGCGGCTGAAAAGAGGAAACGAAGATGCAGCCCCCCCGCCCCACACACACACACACACACACACACACACACACACACACACACCCAGGGATTTAACATGGAAGTTACCCGTGGTGATTATGAGCCGTCGCTGGCACATCCAGCAGCCAGAAGTCCGCCTTGATATCAATTGGGGGGGGGGCATCTCAGGTGAAGCACGACCTGGTTAGTTCTCCCCTGGCCCTGACCTCCCTACACCCCCCTTTATACAGACAGAGCCTCATCGGAGGAAGGTGCATAATGAGGCCCACCTCATACCAAAGGGACATTTATATGTGTCATGACTGGGGTGGGGCGTGGGGGCTGCCAGACTGCAACCCTACCACCCCCATAATTGGGCAACTGTGGACGTTCATACGAATGCAAACAGATATGCAAATGAGCATGCAAATCCATCACAGGCTCATGAATATTCACGGTTAGTCGTACATTGTTTGTTTATTAGCAGTCGCTGTCATGCGGCGACCTGCTCAGCTCCCGCTTCTGACCTTTCACACATAGCGGCGCAGATATGCACTGACGACATGTAGGCGGTGCCCTCGTGCCCTTCCACAGCAGAGGCTCCATTCTGTCGGTGGCGCTGGACAGGTAGGCAGCGACCACCACGGTGTGAGAGGCAGCGGTGACAGCACTGGCGATGACCGCGTCCCTCATGGAGAACGGCAGCATGGTGTAGACGACAAAGATGATGAAGAGGAAGAAGGATACCTGGGGGGGGGGGGGTGATTCAGACATGCTCAGGGATCTCAGTGGGGTCTGGGTACACCGAGGCACTCTGATCGAATCCCCGGGCTAATCTACACACGGGTATGCATTTAAAAGATGCCTTTTTTACCCATAATTCTCCTCTCTGCCTGCCTCTCTCCGCCCCGCTGGGCAATCTGGGTGTGCTCGGTTTACGGTCTGCGTCCTTGGCTGGGAGCGTGAGCACACGTAAACAGCCCTGATCCCTACTCTGCCTCCGGTGTTTCCGCTCCGCCTATTCCCTGCCCCTCTGGGTCTCCGTCTCTGTGAAAGGGGCCCAGTGTTCATGTCTAGATCTGTTGGAAGGTGCAAATTACACTCCTGCAGGTTATTTTGAGAAGGTGGGGGTTAGGGGGCAGGGGATGGAGACAGAGAAACAGAGAAACGCTTGTTGAAAGAGAAGCTCCTCAGGCAAGAAGAGTACTTTAAGAAAGCTCTAGTGGTTCTCTGCTAGCTGAGGAGATACAGGAACTAAACATTAATACCGAATAAAATACTGTTATTTATTGACTGAAGAAGAGAATGCTCACATATGTGTAGTGCTAGAAAGAAGAATCTTCTGGAAGGACTTAAAAAGAAGCTATTAGTTGGCTTAATTAAGAGGTTAGTTTTCTGACTGAGAGCTGAAAGGGTCCACTTCTCTGATGGGGCGCAAACATTTCCCCATCACAGATTAAAGTGAGGGATTAAAGCAGAATGTCTACAGGAGAACCTGTCATAGGACCTGAACGGGCGTTTCGCTACAAAGTGATGGGAACCAGGATTCAGCTCTTTACCTTTTGATATTTTTTAGCGTTGGATTGACGAAGCAAACAGTGGCACCGTGACCCTGAGCCCTCTGTAAAACACACCGAGGGTCTGGCGGCCCTTGGCCCTGAAGACCACCTACTTACTGTCTTTCAGGAATTAATTGCGGCCTCCCACATTCGGGAATAATATAAGACGGCAGTGTCACTATATAGAGGAGTGAGCGCGGTCTCATGGCGATGGTCATAATTGGGTTTGTATCGTTGGTGAGGGAATGAAGAGCAATCATTAGCTGACCTAAGGAATGCCCGGGTTGCCTGTGTTTCTGCCTGATTGTGTGCTGGCTAATCACTCTGATGCACTAATTGAAAACACACTGGCATAAAACTAATATTTTATGTTCAATGTGGGGGGGCCCAAACGAATAATTATGAAATGTGAGGCAGACACGTCCTCCTCAGATTTAATGCTCTGGTGCAAAAAATGGATCAGAGGGGCAGGGCTTGAGGGGTGGGTTTGAGGGGCGGGGTTTGGGGGTCATAGCTGCATCATATTCTGAAACACATCATCCGCCTCATCTTAATTATAAACTCGCCGCTGGGTTAAGGGCTACGATAACACCTAAGAATGATTCTGTTAGCCCTGTTTCCCGGCTTCCGTCAAGTTCCCCGGTAAGTGAATTATGCTTCAGCAAGAGAGCCTGGGAAAAGCCGGAATGGCGGTCAGTGATTTATTTTGAGCCGAGTCATCAGAGCAGGGCAATGAAGGATCAAGTCTTGCTATGAACGTGGTCTGTGCTCTAGCTGGCGCGGATTACCTGCGATGTGAACTTGGAATGCGAGGTCACTGTACAGGTGCATGCCATCAGCACGGGGTCAACGCATTAAGTGAGCTGGTACCTTTTTCGTTTTCCTGGATTCCAGAGCAAGGCCGCACATTTCACGTGTGATTATCGGACATTAAAAGTCTCCTCTGCTAAATACATGCAGGCACACAACCTCTGCAAAACCGCTGAAATTGATGCCTGTTTAATGGCTTGCCTATTTCCGCTCCAGGCGAGGTCCCACCAAGCACTTTCCCTGAGTTCATTTTCTCTGCATGGAGCAATCACGCATGCCCTTCGGCTAAATGCAGGAAATATGATTTCCTGCTGATGGGATAGCTGTAGTCAACAGGAATGGGTGATAAGGACCTTATACTCCCCCCCCCCGCCGCCAGTCGGGATTGGACGCGGCCAGCCGCCTGCTCGTCCTGCTGAGATTGGCTTCTGAGTCCCATGTGACCTCAGAGATGTCCGATATGAAAAAGTGCGTCATGCAGGTTTCTGGCCTCTGACTCCGAGCACGCCGCCGGTCCGATGAGTCACAGGATGATAGTCTAAAAAAAAATAGTCTAATAGGACAATAAGTATTGTCCTTGAGGATTCCTGCTAGAAAATACACAGCTGATATCAAAGATCCCCATTTGCATCAGAAAGCAAAGAAGGGAGATTTTTTTAAACTCGTCAATTTAAAAGCTATTTCATAAGCAAAGGTGTTTACCCACGGTACGAAGAATATTATAACCTCATTGTGCCATCAGAAAATAATGCACGCTTGTGATTATGAAATTTAACACTTTCCACTGACATTTTTTTGTGTTTTTGCAGGTCGGGTTTCGCATCTGTCTGGGGTCTTGTGCCGAAACGAGGCGACAGCCTCCTGCGTGGAGCGATGGGCAATGGATAAACGTCATAGTGGGGCCGGCAAATGGAAAGGCGTTCCCGCACTGTCCGCACACAAGCGCACCCCAACTGTGGGTGGGCGGGCAGGCGGGTGGGGGGGGGAATGGGGGACGAGGATGGGGCTTGCTGAATAATAGATGAGAGCGGGACAGCGGCAGGTAGAAGCTGCGGAGAAGACAGCCTCGTACGGGATGTGGCCCTCAAACATGCAGGCTGAAATGGCTAAAAATAACAGCATGTCTCACTCATATGATTAATAACTGATGTGTTTCTGGAAATGATGCCACTACTGCATCCTGCCCAAAGATCGGGTTTCGATCCTTTTTGTCTAATGAGGAAGCTGGACACCAGTTTTCACTCGAATACAAATAGACACTTGAGATAATCTCCTTCTGAAGATCGAACTGAGATTATTCTCGATCCTTGTGCACCATTTGCTTTTTTTTGTGATTAAAAAGATGATCTCTTTTATTGTGGATAAGGTCATGAATACAAGATGGACCCAAAGGAGGACCGAAGGACCCCAGATTAGTCACAGTGCCGACGTACCTGGTCCCAGGGACAGATGATCCCTCCGAAGAACATGAAGAGGTAGCCCATTGCCACAAGGCAGGCCCAGATCACCAAGGAGAAAACACGCAGCAGCTTCTTGAAGACTGACTCGATGCAGACCAAGACGAAAATCGTCAGGAAGATGGCCAGGGCGGTGGGAACGGTGATGAGGAACGCCACATGGTCCTTGATGTCCTGTGGGGACATGGAAGGAAGGGGTTTACGCGTGCCGGTGGGGCACCAAAGCCGCCCACTGGGTTTGTCTCGTATAATTTTAAGCGGAGGTGAGGGTCTCACGTGTGGCAGTGGGGCGAAAGCACAGAGCGCGCGGTATGTCAGGGAAGCGTGCGGATGCTCTTCACACCCCCGAAATACACCCAGCGCATGAGAGACTGACTGCTTGTGAACAAGCTGTCTGAAGGTGTGAAGGTCTGCCGTCTAAAGCCAGCTGCCCCGTTTCCAGGAGCTTCTCTGGAGTCTGACTGACTCCACAACGCGCAGACGCATCATGAGGCTGAATGTGTCCAGTGTGATGATGCCAAGAAAATTTTAAAAAGCAAAGAAAGACTGATAAGACCCTCTCCACGCCTTCTGAGAAATCAAATGAGACAAGCTGAACATGGTTATTAAAATGGGGCTCAAACGTAGCCCAGGTCTTGAATTTAAAATAGCCTTTGAGGATAGAACTACAGTAGATACCTGGTCCCAGTGTTTTAATTTTCTAAGAGGTACGGAGGCTGAAATCCCGCCGCCTAACCGGGTCCACTGCTACCAGGTTAACAGCCATGTCTGTGTTTCCTGAACGTTTCCAGGCAGCACAACATGTGCGGTTTAGGGTGTCCCTACATTTAGCTTTTACACGGGGCTCAGTTTGGGAAGATCGTACTCTGTGTGCTTCAGATTGATGAAACCGCGGGAGATCCAGGAGAGGGTGACAAATATCGGGAAGAATTGCCTTTTACATCCTGAGTAGCGGCTCCCATTAGGCATCTGTAGAGCTAACGGTGAGGAACCGGCCGCTGATCCCTACTGCCTGTGTCCGACACCTAGGCCATCAAATTGGGCGTGTAAGGAGCACTGGTGGCCTGCAACCCCCCCCCCCCCGGAGAGTGAGGTGGGTTGGATTGTTTAGTTGGTCCCACTGAATGACGGGGACAGGCGATACATCACAGCCCCCCCCGCCAACCCCACCCCTAGGCATTAATTAAACAGCAGTCTAAAACCTGCAGGGTTCCGATGCCTATTGGACCAGGGCTGATTCCCTCGGTGTGAAGCAGAACATTAAATGGGTTTCTGAGGTCCGAGCCGTTATGTAAGTCAGAGAAAAAACGTCAGATGCGAATAGCAGCACTGGACAGTTTAACCAACAATCTCTGGAGAATGAGCCCCGGTGAGAACGGCACCGAATTTCATTCAGATTGGCAGGTGGCATCTCAACGATGGCGGCGGGTAAATACGCCTTCGTGAATAATGCATGGCGGCATGCAGCGGCACGGGAATCGGGGGCCAAATACTGCCGGCGTCTCCGCGCTTCCAGGAGCCATTTGGCCACAGTGACATTTCTGCTCACCGAGCTGCACCGGCCGCAGGTTCATCCCCTGACAGAGGTGGCCTTCGGATGCTCTCGGCCTGCTCCGAAATCTCAGTGCTGGGTTGCCGGGATGCACGCAGCTAGGAAGAGGCTCTTTTATAAATCACCACTGAACAGCCTCTCCGCTTCTCTGGCTTAAGCTGCTGGAAATAAGCATTAAAAGTCACTTCAAAGGCCACGGAGGCCCCTGCTCACACGTTCCAGGTGCCGCACTTTCTCCTGCCCCTTTCTTTCACTTCCACCGGCTCAGCATCTACAGTTTATATGATTATTTCTGGCCCGCCCGTGTGTTTGGCCTGGGGGGAGGCTCCTGGTGGAGGGGGCCAGTCTTTCTAGATGGCCATAAAGTAGTTTAGTGTGTGTACCTGGCGGTATCCCTTTAAAAGCAGACTGTTTACCCTGGCCTGGGTGGGGGGGTTCGGGGGGTTACCATCACTTTCGCTACTTTGCCTCTCATACGACCCTGCTGCTTTGCTGAACTTCATTTTCCAAACCTGCAGCGAACAGCAGCCTCTTAAATCCACACATTTTTCAGATTATGGAGAAGAAAGTAAGAATGCTCATCCCCCACCCCCAAGTGGGGAATCATTTCTGAATATTAATTAACTCAGGGATTAGTCTGGTTTAAGCCTGTCCTTATGATTTAATAGCTTTTAAATTTCTCACATTCTGGTTTACCCTCCACCAGGACACGACCACCTTGGTCAAACTGCACCAGAGGTTACATTTATACATGTTACATACGTCTGTTTATGTTCATTCAGAAAACGGAGCAACTTCATAAACAGACCACCGTCATAGCAATTTCGGGTAGCTACCTTGTCATGACAGGTGTCAATTATCCGTTTCCTGTGTTTCTACCTTTGTTCTGCACTGACACACGTGCTTTTAATGCACATTTAAAGGCATGTGTGAACCTTTAGAAGGCAGAGGCGTGAGCGGAACCCCAGTGGGAGTTATGATGGGGTCATGCAGACTGCTGCATGAGCACCGAGAAGCGGAGTCAAGAGGCCGAGCCGGGGGCTGAGAGAAGGAGCCGGGGGCTGAGAGGCGGAGTCGGGTGCCGAGAGGCGGAGCCGGGTGCCGAGAGGCGGAGCCGGGTGCCAAGAGGCGGAGCCGTGTGTCGAGAGGCGGAGCCGGGTACTGAGAGCCGGGTGCCAAGAGGCAGAGCCGTGTGTCGAGAGGCAGAGCCGGGTGCCAAGAGGCAGAGCCGTGTGCTGAGAGGCAGAGCCGGGTACTGAGAGCCGGAGCCGGGTGCCGAGAGGCAGAGCCGGGTACTGAGAGGTGGAGCAGGGTGCCGAGAGGCGGAGCCGGGTGCCGAGAGGCGGAGAGGCGGAGCCGGGTGCTGAGAGGCGGAGCAGGGTGCTGAGAGGCGGAGCCGGGTGCCAAGAGGCTGAGCCGTGTGTCAAGAGGCAGAGCCAGGTACTGAGAGGCAGAGCCGGGGGCCAAGAGGGGGGCCCAGGTGCCGAGAGGCGGTGCCGGGTACTGAGAGGCAGAGCCGGGTGCCGAGAGGCGGAGCCGGGTGCCAAGAGGCTGAGCCGTGTGCCAAGAGGCAGAGCCAGGTACTGAGAGGCAGAGCCGGGGGGCTAGAGGGGGGCCCAGGTGCCGAGAGGCGGTGCCGGGCACTGAGAGGCAGAGCCGGGTGCCGAGAGGCGGAGCCGGGTGCCAAGAGGCGGAGCCGGGAGCTGAGAGGAGGAGCCAGGGGCGGTGAAAAACACACAGGATGTCACTCCAACTGAGGACGTTCACAGACCCAGTTGCATGGACCAGATCCCCCAACACACTATTGACTGGGGAATCGGGGGCCTCTGATTGACGGGGCATATGAACTCAAAGCACCGCGATGGCTCTGCAGTCTGGAGCTCTGTCAAGGGTTTGGGATGCTGGCGAGTTACTCCTGAGTAATGCTGGCCTCTTTTTAACACTCAAAACAGCCATATATTTCCTGTACAATACTCCTGTACAGTACTCCTGTACAGTACTCCTGTAAAACACTACTGTACAATAAAGTTCCCTTTTCTGATTTACTGACTGGTTTGTGTTCCTGGGGGTTAAAAACCCAGCACCAGAGGGAAAAAAAAAATCATTTTATTTATATATTTAGTTATATATTTTTCTCAATGGCTCATTGTGAGTCATGTCACTCTTTGAACCCAGAGATGTAGAAGCTGAGTAGAGCTCACTGACACTTCTCACGTACAGTCAGGAGGTGCCCGTCTCTGAACCCAACAACGTGATACATCTGTTTTTCTTAGAGATGTTCAGGATCAAAGGTGATGAATGGAAATCCAGCAGCAGGCAGGAGTAAAGTTTTAAGGGCTGCTACTGGCCCCTTGGCTCTGCTCTGGTGTTGTGACTTTTGACAGCCTGTTTCTGTCCCCAGGACGATAACAAGCCACGTAAAAATCATTAAACGAGGTGCTGTGTCACTGCGTTACATCATAAGAAGCATAATAAAGAGTGTAAACATTATGCAGTGGAAAAATAATGTTCAAAGAGGAAAGAGAAATACATCTTATATAAGAAGTAATACTGATTAATATGTCATAAACACAATTATTCTTGTTATGACTGTGTCATAAACATAATTATTCTATTCAGTTAATTCTGTGTATAGTATTATATGATCACAATTCACATTTCTAATTATGCTCTAATGGCACACAGATTATTTCAATGTTGTATGATTGCATACAGTAACAATAATTAGGCAGGACCCTGAAAAAACTATAAGTTGACAGGAATGAAAAGTCTAGACTGTTTAATGTCACCTCAGTGCCACAAATCCTAAATGCATCCATTCATACATGCAGGGATTAAAGTCACAGAGCTGAAGCAGCCCCCACACGCCGCCTGCCCCCCCGCCATGTTTCCCGAACCGTCCCTCAGTTATGAGTTACACATTAAGTGATGATGTCGGCGTGGCTGGGGCTGCAAACGGCCCGTTGGGTTTTAATGAATAACTGGGCTTGAGTTACCTTCAACTTTGGGGCGCTCCCGAGTTTCCACAGACGAGGCACGCGGCACGGACCCCCCCGGCCCCACGAGCCCCCACGGCAGCTCACCAGTCCCGAGGCGAAGAAGACGGCGATCAGTGCCAGACATGCTGCCATCACGATGAGCAGCAGGAACACGATCAGCGGGTGCTGCTGGCTCAGGCAGTAGTAGGACTCATACAGCCAGTCGGCAGGCTTCTGTGCCCCAGCGCCGCCTTCCGCGCCCCCCAGCAGGGAGCGCCGTCGCCACATGGTCTCCCGCCACGTGCGGCCCGCCCGCTCCTCCGTCAGGCACGCAGGGCTACCAGGCGCGGCATCTGCGGCAGGCGGGACGACTCGCGCTGGCGACCGTGGCATTGTCCAGGCAACATGTTGGACTGGGGATGGAGGGAAGGAGTCAGTGAGAAGAGAGAGAGAGAGAGAGAGAGAGAGAGAGAGTGCTGAGGGATTGTCGTGGGGGGGAACAACGGAGTGCTGACGGAGACAGAGAGAGAGAGAGAGAGAGGGAGAGAGAGAGAAAGTGTCTGGGATGCAGGCAGGGAGTGAGAGACTGGAGAAGACAGAGAGAAAGAGAGGGAGAATAACAAGACTGGTGGGCAGGCGGAGCGAGAGAGAGGGAGGGAGGGAGAGTAACGAGACTGGGGGGCAGGCAGAGAGAGAGAAAGGGTGTGAGTGAGCAAGTGAGAGAAAGTAAAAAATCTGAGGAAATAGGCAGAGAGTGAGCGAGAAAACGAGAGAGCAAGAGTAACAAGACTTGGGGGGCGGGGGGGGGCATGGACTATTTACTACAGTCATGTTAATAAGTGCTGCTGACTGTATGATCGGATACTTCTTGCTCCTTCACTCCCCTCCTCTCTCCTCCCATCCTCTCATCTCTGCTTCTCTCCACTCCCCTCCTGCTATGTTCCTCTCCTCTGCTCCTCTCCACTATCCTTCTCTATGCTCCTGTTCTTTCCCCTCCCCTGCTCTCCACTCTCCTCTCTGCCCCTTTCCCTCCCCACCCCACTGCTCAGTTCCTCTTCTCTCCCCCTCTCGTCCCTGCTCCCCTCCACTCCCCTCCTTTCTCCTCTCTCCTCCCATCTGCTCCCCTCTATTCCCCTCCCCTCTGTTCCTCACCTCTCCTTTTCACAGCTCTCTGTTCCCCTTCCCTCCTTTCCTCTCTGCTCCACTCCTCTCTCCTCCTCTCCTCCCCTCTGCTCCTCTACTTTCCCTTCCCCTCTGCTCCATTCCTTTCCTCTCCCTTCCCCTCCCCTCCACCCTTCCCTTTCTCTTCTCTACCCTCCTCTCCCCCCAGGCTCTCCTGTACCCCCCCAGAGGAGCCTCTCAGGCCCATTGATTTCCTCTGGTGTCTGTCGCTGAGTTGGCAGATGTTGATGGTGTCATGAAGATGGTCACATGTTCAAAGCTGAGGCCTGTGCAGGGTCACTGCCCCCAACAGACAATATGGCCCATATTTCAGCAGTAGGGCTGTTCAAATAGGACCTTTCTGGGACTGAGGGATACTGATGATCTGTGGAGGTAATTTTAATTAAGATAGGGATCAAACAAAAATCCCAAAGGAGCCATGCAAAATTAATTATTTACAGGCTGCTTCAGTTTGTCCTTCTGGTCAGTGTGAGGCGCTACTGAGAGGTATGACCAGCACGTCTCCGTTTAAAAAGCGCTGAGTATCTCCTCTGCTGTGTCATGGGGCAGCTTTGGTTAAGATTTAACAAGCTCTTCCCCACCGACCCAGGAGGAGAGTAAAACAGTAAAACAGGCTCCTGTTAGTGACTCATCCCTCTGGTTCCCTCAAAAATTTCCGAGAGAATTCCCAGGGCTGATTCATTTAGCACATGGTAACAATCTGACAGGCTGATAAAGTTATAAAGAGGAATTACAGGATCATTTATGAAGGTAAGGATCTATTAATAACCCAGACAGCATTAAGTGAACATTAACATCAGAGTTATATGTAAACAGTGGGAGCCTGCAAGATGAACGGGGTGTATTTAATATCTCTCTGACTGTTTAACACGGAAGCCAAACAGTGACGGGGGCTCGCAGCCGGGGAGGGCGGGGCCGTGTCATGCCGGTATATTAACGCGCCTCCGTCACGGACCGCCTTTCCCGTGCACCAGCGTAGATATTGTCTGGAGCGTTGCCATGGAGACCTGCCGCACTTGGGTCAGGCACGTGAACGGCATCCGGTGTTAAAAATAAACACTACGTTACCACAGACAGCTGTGCCGGGAGCGCATCGGGAAATTAAGGGTAATTATGCTGTTATATTTTACTTACATAATTATCTATAGTTTTAATAAGGCGATCAGCTAATCGCCAACGCGCGCACGCCGTCTTGAAGTGAATCTCGATTTCCCAGCCATGTGACCAGACGTGTCGTAACTAGGATAGTCCTGGCCAGTTGGACAGTGCGGAGATGTTCTTCAAGGCTCCTTCAGCCAGATCCTTCGTTCTTTTGTTAGGCTGTAATGAAACTAAATGAAAAGGTCAGGGAACAGGAATATGGACATATATGCCCCACCACTTACAATGGCACATAGACGTGTTCTTAACCACTGCTCCCCCTGCTGGCCTCTGGTTAGTACTCTCCTCTCCCTGGTAAACAATGCAGAGCAGATCTCTTCAGTCGGCTGCTCACTAGGAAGTCACCAGAAGGGAGTTTACAGATATTAACACTCGCATGCAGGATGCACTGGAAGGTGCCTGCAACCACCCACATGAAACTCTACGGCCGATCAGGATTCCAGCGTCACCTCATAAGTCCTTATTGTGCTTTTCATGCTCCTTGTGCCGAACAAAAAGCCTTAAGGAGCCCCTTAATGACCTCACTACTGACAGCCTATGGAAGGCAGAGTGACGAGCCGGGATCTGGACGCACGCTATTGTTCCCGTGGCAACCGATCACTGGCCCGGCACCCATGGAGGCCCGTTAATGAGGCCCAGCCGACCTCGATTGGGATACATAGCATATTAATGCCTTACAGGGGTCCAGCTGGGTGGATTGTGGGGGGGGGGGGCAGACTTGCGGGCCTTGTGCATTCAGCAAGTGAGTTTTTTTTTAAGCTGCCCCCCTTAAGGGAGCCTGGTGCCAATTTTCCATCAACTTTTGTTTAATAAAGGCCTTTCTGTCTGACTGTCACATCGGTACTCCAGTGCTGCCTGGCAAAGATGGCCCCGATCCAGGAAGCTGCCGCATTTGGCACTGGATCTGTACTTCCTGTCCCATCAGCAACGTCAGTCATTCAGGTCCTCAGAGAGACACCATCTGATATTAATTTGCTGCTTGCGGGGGGGGGGGGGGGTGGCGCATCTCTGAAATCAATTACTTTGCTCCAAAAGCCACTGTATTGCTGTGCTGGCAAAATTGAGATGAGAGAGGAGCTCTGATCCCTTAATCTGACTTTAATTGAGGGGATGTCAAACCTGGAGGGGTTGGGGGAGGGGGCGCCGCCAGTGGCTCTGGAGCTCAACCCGGTGGTGTGATTTAAAATGCTTGGCAGAGGGTTCGAAAGTGGGTCATCGCAGCACTGAGAGGCAATCCGTCCAAAAGTTTGACGAGGCCAAACGGAGCAGAGCCCCGCAAGGATGAAGAGGCAGTGAGCTTAGATTAAGGCCTCTGACAGATCAAAAGAGCCAAGTCGCCATCTTTGTTCAATGTCCCACATTCTATCTGCATAAAAGAAATGGGAAAGAAACAGATGAACAGCGATAAATCACCACCGAGTAATGGGTCTGATTTGCTAATCCATGCAGCTGATTTCTTCGAATGATGTGTACCGTCTTCGAAAAGAGGCACCATATTGCTAGAGAGTTACACGTTCAACCTGGAAAGGAAACACAAAATGTCCTCATAGAATAAACAGTGAATAAACCTGATCTCCCCGTATTATATGTGTTTCTCGAAAGTTAATAGAGGAAAACATCACGCTACATTAATGAGTTTCAGAGACTCACAAAAAACACCAGTGAAATAAAGTTAGCATGAGGCTCTGCTGGTAGATTGGTGTCTGCATGGAGTGCGTAATCCCGCTAAGTTCGATCTTTTTTACGGTCAATGTTCTCCGGCCCTCATAACAGAAATGGATTTGCACAACATCATTTAATGTTCCCTTTGAAATGGGCTTCAATAGCTCCATGGCAACCAGCCAGGAGCCTGTCAATACCGCTCTATCGGCAAGTCTTAAAGAGAGTTTTAAAAAGCCACAAAAACGACCATGTGTTTGTCGCCCCTCCCCCCCGACTCAGTGCCAGACTTGAACACACAGGTGGACGGATGAGAGCCCAAGATTAGTGACAGGTGGCGAGATACAAAATGACCCATGAAAACCTTTGCCAATGGATCCTTCCGGAAACCTTTGGTCTACCAATGCTGCTTGAAATCCATTTGTGATGTCATTGAAGGGAGTCAACAGCCTAGGTGGGTGGGGGTTGTTCTCAACAGCAACAGATCCAGGAAAACATATCTGTAAGGTTCTCAGAGAGGGAAGCCTGTTCAGGGGTTTTATCTTATCTTATTATCTTTTATCTTTTCCCAGTGCATACAGGAGCCAGGTTGTAGCCAAGCTCTACCGAGAAGAAACACTAGATCCAGCTCGCTTCAGTTTTCCACTGCAGAAGGGTCGGCCTCGGTGAAGGCACTGCCAGGTTTGGAGAGCAACAGTGACGTAAAATCGAAGAGGTGCTTATTTACCGTTCACATGGTGTACATCACCATTCGCTATGTGCTGATGTCCGCTAGCACATCTGTGAGAATTGGCGCCTTATGTTAGCATCAAATGCTAGCAGAATTAGCATTTCCTTGAGTAAATTTGCATTATAGATACATTCCCTTAGCCGTTCCATAGTACTTTTTTAAATAGGAGTTAGAAATTTCAGCAATTGTAAATTTTTAAATTGCGATGTATTGGGAACGCATCAATGCATCACAATGCGCGGTACTACTGATAAAGAATAATATATAGAATATGCCCTATTTCCTTCAGACAATACATGCATATCGATGCAGAACAGCGTTATCTTCATGCATTTCCATCAATCAAATGTCGGTGATGCAACATCAAATGTACGGGTACGATTCATGTGATGCACAATGGAAAAACTCGCCTCTTCACGGTTCAGCTTGGTTCTTGGTGGCAGTGGAAAAGGGCCATTAGGGGCAGGAGACCAAGCTGGCGGTTTGGGGAACTACAGGGACACCCTCATACATCACGGCATAGCAGGCTGAGTAATGGTACCTGACCAACCATAACCAGTCATTATAACCTAAAGCTTGGAGACTGAGGTCCTAAGATGAGACCAAACTGTCAAACCCTTAATCAAGATACTTTCATTCATTTATTGATTTACTCATTCATTTGTCTGTCTGGTAGATAGATGATAATCATATTAATTCATCCATTTGTATATTATATTTGAGCGTTGTAGCGGCTGCATTAAACAAGAGTGAGGTCTCCGGTGCAAATGCATCACTTCTTAAGTATATTGGGGTATAGAAATATGAAACCTTTTGCAGTGTTGACGCTGAAGTTTGTATAAAACAAAGAGCTATACGA